TTAATGGGAAATTCATCTTTCTGCAGGGAAAAAAATGAGAATCACTCACACTGGGAAAGTCAAATGGTAATAAGTAGTTTCAATTGCATTGATCTAAATGGAGCTGACCTCGAATGTTTCATTTCAGTTCAGTTCTTCAGAAGATAACATTGGCTTCCCAGCAGTGAGCTCGTTGCTTAATGGCAGGTGAACTTTGAGACCCTAGTCCCTTCCATAATCTGGGTCTCCCAAAGAACCACAGCAGTTTGGCATCTCTATCAACGTGTGCATTTCCAAGGAGTTTAATAAAACAAAATAAGCCTTTTATTTCATGTAACAATAAGTAATTAAATCTCATTTTAAGAAAAAAAAAATCATTTGGGGGAAAAAACAGAAGTTGAAACTTTATCATCTTCTACAGGGCGAAAACTCTGAAATTTGCTCCTTGTGGCAAAAGAGCCACCGTGATGTTACCTCCCACCTCCTCGTTTAAGTTGGTGTGATTCAGACTCTGCTAAAAGATCATTGAGTCCCTGTGAATCGGTGCCTAATGCAAAGGGCTAGTGTTGGGGTTTTTTTTCAGATGAGTTGTTAATCACTGAAAAAAAATATAATAATATCCAACCTTTATTGCCTCCTGTAGTCCTGCCAGATGGAGAGCACCAATGACAGTTCTGAAGTTATCACTTAGCCTGGAGCTAAGAATATGCCAAGTAGGCAATTATTTAGCGCAGCAAAGTGTGGGACATTAAAACAGCCATCATCCCACTACCTGCATTGGAGCCCAAAAAGCCAAGCTGGGTGCTGCCTTTGAATGCTCTCTACAACTCCCTGAAAGGAGGGTGTAGAGAGATGGGGGTCGGTCTCTTTTCTCAAGTCACAGGCGACAGGACAAGAGGAAATGGCCTCAAGTTGCACCAGGGGAGGTTCAGGCTGGATATCAGGAAAAATTTTTTCACTGAAAGGGTTCTCAGGCATTGGAATGGGCTGCCCAGGGAGGTGGTTGAGGCACCATCCCTGGAGGTGTTCAAAAGACGGGTTGATGTAGTGCTGGGAGGTATGGTTTAGTGATGATGCTCCTTGTTTGTTGTGTGGGTGCCTATTTTTGTCAGTTAGGTTGACGGTTGGACAAGATGATCTTTAAGGTCCCTTCCAACCTAGAAGATTCTGTGATTCTGTGAAAGGCCAGAGGGTGCACAGCCCAGCCAGCCTCAGGGTTGAAGAGCAGCAGTGTCCTCAGGGCAGCGGGAAGTTTGGTTTCCCAGGGAACATCCCAGGAGCTCTGTCCCACTTTTGCCCCTTCTTTCTCCTCCGCCTTTTCTGTGGGAAGAGGCCAACGCCTGGGCTTGTTCCAGCTCTGCATCCTCCTGATGGCAAAAGGCAGCTTTGCCTCCACTGATAAACCCTGAACAAACCTGAGGGAAAAGGTCTTCGCCGTTGCAAAGGAGCTATGAAGCAGGATTTCCTTAAAACGGGAGTGCACACATAAAACTCCTTTGCACGACACCCTCTGTAGTGCTGGAGCCCTTATCTTGTTTTGCTGACTGGAAGTGGGATGGTGTGCAGGCTTTCTTCTTGAGCTTTCAGCTTTTTGGCTGAGATTGTCCATGGGTGACTATTCAGTGACCCTGGCACAGTCTAAGGAACACTTAATTCCTTTCAGTCACAAATTATATGCTTCTACTTAACAATCAGAGATACCAGCCTCAGACTTTCCTCCCTAAAACAGGAGAGGAAAGAGACATGCAAATGGGACCCAAAAAAGGGTTGGTTCAAGCCTCTGAAATAAATCCTTCTCATATCTGAGAATGAGGAGAGATTGAAGAAGAACACATTATCTTTCTCCAGCTATGATAGTCACAGCAATGAATCTCCCAAATTAAGTTACTTTGTTAAGTCTTTCATATAGTATTGCATTCTTCAATAAAATAACTGCTTTAGATGACAGAGTCTGTTCTTTGTATATAATTACTGTATGTCATTGCCTCTTCTTGTGGTCCACGGAATATATACAGACCTTCTGCTGGTATACCTCTGCCGAGAGGTGCCTTTCACCCCAGAAAATGGTTCATGTCAGGTCAGTGGATGGGGCTGTGGATGGATGGAGGAGATTTAACCTTTCTTCCTCCCTGGGTGGCCCCCGTCCACAGCTGACTGTGGTGGGCAGAACTAGAGCATGATCACAGCTGCTTTGCACTCCTACATTTTGAGGCCACTTCCAGCAGTACCACAAATAGGCACTTTTGCCACAGTTCATCCAAGTGGATTTGCTTACGTTTCTGTCACTGAGCAATGGGGATGATCAACTTTGCCGTGATCAGGACTGCTCAGCACGGTATTTGTAAGAGCCCTTTGACAATGGCTGATGTTATCGGGGAGGGAACATTTTAGACATGAAATCAGACACACAAAAGGGCTGCACTTGGTCGTCAGAAAGCAAACTGAGAGCAGAAGTTTAAAAAAAAATGATGACGCTGACATGACGTGAATGCATTTGGCTGCACACTATGGTTCGGGTCCTTATCAGGTGTGGAGTGCAGGTGCCTGGATGTGAGTCATCCAGCAAATATTGCAAATAACATGTTCAGCATTGCCAGATTATAGGCCTAAGTAGAAGAATCCTTGGCATATGTACCCACTGAAATGATGAACAGGTGCCCACCATAAACCTGAGGGTTGAGTTGCAGAAACAGCCCTCAGGTATGCACCTCATTCCTGTACTATTAAATATATTCCAAATTTCTTTAAATTGCTTCCTTAACATCCAGCAGGGAGCTCAAAATGGTTGGCGTATAGAAAAAGAATTTCTAGGTTTGTTCACGAATGTGCTTGAAGCAGCATGCTATTATTTCTGAGAGAATGAAATAATTAGTGACACAAAATTATAGCTTCCCTGCCTAGAAGAGCATCCCCTTCAAATAGGATACCAAGAACAATGGAGCCTCAGATGGTTTTTATAATAGAGAAGGAAACAATATGAGTATGCTAGACTGAAATCCCTGCTCTTCATGTCAATTCCGTGTTCTGTCACAGGCTTCCTGAAAGCTGCTACACAAATCACTTTGGACAATCATTTTCTCATTATTCAGGTGCCCAATTCTAACTGAAAATGAATTCAGCACCTAAACACTCTCCCATTTTTACTCATAGTCCATTTGCAGCTGCATCACTGCTGGCAACAGGACTAAGAGCAATGTTCTGAGGACAGCAAAGCCTCTGAGCCACTCCCTGACTCTATCACCACCACACTGCCAAGGATGCTGCACAAGAACCAGGACCAGAATGGATTTTAATACGAGATTCCCAGAGAGCATGAATTTGACCAGCTAACCATGTGAAAGGCTGTTTTAAATACAATTATCAAGCTGTGCATTAAGAAATGCAGAAATGTCTTTTACAAAGAGAAGACACTAGGGCAGATGACAGGGCAGAAAATGTGGGGACAATGAACAAAAAGTAGGCATTTTATGAGAGCAAACTCCTGTCATTTAATATCACCATATTTTGTCACTGCTTTTTGACTCGGGCAATTTCCCTGCTTTTGAGGTTTCTGTTTTCATTCGAGGAGTGAACGCCTGGACTGTTCCAGAAATAACTGTGAACTGCAGAAGTGGTTGGTCAGACACGTCCAATTGTTGATGCCATAGTGATCTGTGGTGAACAGCCTTAGGAGTCACAGACACTTTTTCCCCATCACGTCATTTGTTGAATTAAGAGTTAAGTTTCTCAACTTCGGCTCTGATTCTTGCAGACTATGAAAGTCATTGTACCTGCCACCAAGGTGGTTAGAAAAATCAGATGCAAGACCCATTTGCAGCCCTCCAACCTGACCCCTTCAAATACAGATCAGGTCACCTTTGGTTAATAAAAGTTGTGGGGAAAATCTCACATACATCATCCATTAGAAGTGTTCAGAAGTTTTTATAGCCCTGAGCATGCAAGTTTGTGACAACCAAAGATCCTGCCATTTCTCTCTGTTTCTCTCCCCTATGAAATAAAAGCCTGATGTATGGAAGTTAGAATTGGTGAAATTGACTTCAAGATAATACTGTATCATCATTTTATTAAAAGGTCAATAAAAAAGTCGGTTTAAAAGATAAGTGAAAAAAAAACTTGATCATAATCAGTCATTCAATATTCACCCTTCAGCAGCATTCAAAAGGACATTTGTGCTTTTAAGTTTCTTTAATAATCAGTTTCTTCTCCTCCTTGGAGGAAAGTCAATATGCCAGCTTTCAGAATTGAGCTGTAGGTCAAATGGTTTATCTTTTGCCTGTTAAAGCCCTAGGAGATAAAACATTACTTAAGAGTTGATCAAAATGAAATCTGTTTGAAATGAACAGGTTTGAATTCACAGATTTGACAGAGTTGGAAGGGACCTCTAGAGATCATCTAGTCCAACTCCCCTGCTAAAGCAGGATTGCCTAGAGCACATTACTTGGAATACATGTGCACATTTATGTATTTATATAATAATACATATTATATATATAATAATATAAAAAAAATAATGTGAAGACTGCAAACGGGAGTAATCTGTTGGTTTTTCTGCTCGTTTAGCATGGAAAACTGAGCTCTCTGAGCCATGCTATCCAGCATGGCAGCCGCAAAAGAGGGATGCAGGCAGGAAGGTGAGGAAAAAAAAACCCAATTTCTGGTGTTTAGATGGATTTCTGCCAGCACTAGGACCAAGCACGTAAAGCTTGAGGAGCAGCGACTGTGCACCAGGATGCACAAAGGCTAGGGGAGGAACTTCAAAGGGGATTGTTGGCGAGTAGGAAGGTGCCAGTAGAAGGATGATTTGGAAGGGAAGCTGTGCCTGCAGCGAGCTACAGCCTTTGGCTTCAGACAAGCCTTCCTCAGGTTCCAGAGCAAGGGCAACAAGGGCCAGGTACTCACTGCTACAGCCCAGGCAGGGAGGCTTCTTATCCCAGACAGGCTGACCTTTGAGCTCTACTGTTTACCAATCCAACATAAAACATTACTAAGCTCACTAACCTTCTATCCTCTTATCTTTCCAGCAATCTTGACACAGAAGAGCTCTGCGGTAAGTTCCTTTTCAGGCAAGAACATAATCTATGCCTGCAGCATCCCTGTACAAGCAAACATACCATGTGATATGTTGGGGTTTTTTTTCTGTTTAATCTTTGTAGCTCAAACAGAAAATAATTTCCATTGAAAGAACTCCTGGGACAATGCAGATGGCTTATAATCCTTTTAGACTGTTGTCATGCATTACATGCAGAAATTACTTTGAAAAGGTTTTTCCTAATCAACGCTTCACATTCTCTGAGCTTCAAGTTCTGTTCTGATGTAAAGATAGACAGATAACTTTTATCTTATTCCCTTTTCATGTGAGATGTTTCGTTCTAGCTAGTTGATCACTTTCAAAGGTATGAGTCTTTCGGCAATTTTGAAAGAGATTGTCATTTTAGTATCCCACTGGAGGAGAAAGTTCATTGTTTTGCTCTAACTTGATCCAGTAAGAATAGGAGTTTGACAACTTCTCTCATCCTTCATCACAAAAAAAAACAAACAGCTCCTACAAGGCCTAAAGTTTGGCCCAGTCACACATTTCTATGCCTTGTTTTGAGTGCGAGTCATTTCCCCAAAACTCTGTTTGCTCTCCAGCTGACCCTACAGCACCTGATCTAGGAGTCCTGCTTCCAGTAGAACACAATTCACAGAAAACTTCTGCAAGTCCTCCCACAAAATGTCAAAAAACCAGTTATGTTTGACAAAACCAGCCTATTTCTGAATGAAAGGTGGTAGTCTGATGAATTTTCCAGTGGTCAATCATATAGAAGACCTTTAAAAGCTGAAAATACTATCAATTTAAAGACCAGAATGCTTACCCACAGGATGACTCAACCAAGAACCCACCAGGAGGCTCCCTTAGCCTGTGGCTTATAAATATGTGATGAGAGACTCAGCCGATGTGAATCAGGCTGTGATGACTTCTCCTGGTTGAGAATCTGGCCAAAATTACATAAACCTGGCCAAGGGGATTTCATTCCACAAGGGTTTTAGTGCTGTTGATGTTGCCCTGAAGGGTTATAGGTTTGCTTCACACCTGATCTCACTAGCTTTCTCAGGCTGGTCAGAGAGCTGAGAGGGGTCTCAGTCTGGCATCGTTTGTTTACTGTCTGTTTTGATCAAAACCGGGTTGCCACTAGGGTATTTCTCATCTGTGAATCTGATACTGAGTTTACTTGACACGTGTCTAAGCTAGTGATTGTACAGCTCTTTCTGAGTTATCTCAGTTCTCCTCAGAAACGAAGCTTCGCTTTCAGGATACTAATTCACAATTACAACTTCATTCTTAATCATTTCGTTCAACCTCTCAGCAACACCAAGTGATGTCGCAGTGCTCCTGAAACCTCATGCTTTCTCAACTCCCCTGAGAAGCTCACACTGACCTCCTAAAAGCCTCAAAGTATTGCTATTTATTATTTCTAAAAGCTCCTATCTAATCTTGTTCGTCTTGTCTGCCATTTAGATGTCGTTTTTCATGTTCCTCTGTGTGACCTGATGTCTAAATGCCTTGTCTAACACAGTCTCTAGCTTTAACTTAATTGTCTGCCTTTATTTCCAACCCTTTTTTCCTTCCTGTGCCTCCCTCTGTTGTATTTTGCTGCATTGACCAAATGGGAACTCGGGTCACGATTTCTCGGGTTTGCCTTCTCCTCTCGTGGCAATCCCTCTGATTGAATTATGCCCCCTGATTTTACATCAGCTCTTTCTGTTAAAACGTCCTTTGTTTTAAGCAGCCATGCAAGGACATCCCACAAATTATTTTGATTTCTGCTCAAAGTATTTTGCAGGCATCATACTTGTTGAAAATATGATCACAGTACCTGGGACTAGAAGCTTATCTGGTCAACCATGAGGTCTCTTCATCTCTCAGAGAGAAACAACTGGTCTCAGCTGACCCCAACTCACAACAGCCCCTGCTTGATCTTATCTCCTCCATGGGCTTTACCAGAATTATTCATTTTTGTATCAATGTAATCAGATTTAGTACATACGCATGAAAACTTCATTTCCTACTAGTAACTGTAAAGTACGCTATTAGACTGAAAATCCAGTTTAGGAAGAAAATGCAGGCATTTTGAAAATGCGTCTGTTTCAGCTCTCAAAATGATATTTAAATTTTTATCAGTTTGGCAACTCATTTATTGAAAGAAAATGCTTTGAAACAGTGATTTTGATATTTTAAAGGGAATGATTTTGAGGGAAATAGTACAAAATTTAAAAATAAAATAATCCCTTTCATTGTAACTCTTGTTCATTTTATACATGTAGATAGCTAATAATACTACAGCTGAATTCAAATTTGATAAAATTTATATTTAACGAAATATTGGTTTTTCAGGTCATGAGTAGGTGACATGGGTTTTCTTCTTTTAGAATATTTTTCCCAGCACTTAGGAGAGTATGAAAATGTTCTGTCTGTCTTGGAAGACTTAAACATAACCGTACTGAAGGCAATGAACAAAACCAAGAAAGTAAGTAAAAATGGTGAAATTTTCTTTACATCGCGCATTTTGTTTATTTGAACATGTAAATATTTTTTATTTAGATAGAATTACTAATTCATATTTAAGTTCTTCCACATATATATGTTTGTAGAAAAAGTCTAGTAGGAAAAAGTTTGTCACATGGTTGAGTATCAAAGCTGTAAAGCTCTGTCTGCAAAGTGTTACAGTTTGGATATGGCCAAAATTGTCTTTGTGCATGATCTGAAGAATTGTCGTCCCAAGAGAGGGTTTCATGTCCCATGCCAAATATGGGGAAGTATTATCAGCATTTCAACATTTGAAAATAATCTGAATTTGAAAAATTAATCCACATTTTTTAAGTAGAAAACATGTTAGTAAAAGATACTAATGACTTTAACTATATTGATGCCTACCATTAAATTAGGCAAGAGTCATCTGGAGACATGCTGAGGGGTCATAGTTATGTTAAGGTTAAATGTAGATTCCAGGATAGTTTAAAAAGATTTAAAAGGGCTGTAATATCTCTCCCCATGTTCCCTGGAGCTGACCTCCAGTACTTTTATGATTATAAAACAATCCTATGGGCAGTGTCTGTGTGTCCTGGATACTTAGTCCCAGAATATAACTGGCCAGTGTAAATCACTTAAAAGTATTTCTGATAGTAACAACAGAAAACATATACATTTGGGTTGTGTGAAACATCCTGACCGAGAACAAGATTTCATTTCCATTTCAGGCATTTGAAACAAAAGCAGGGCTCACAGATCCAGCAAAGGGGAGGTGTTAGGGCTGTTGCCCACCAGGGCAGCAAGAGGTCATTAACTCCAGAGGGAGGAGACATTTCTCAGGAGGAGAAGCTCAGTTTCTACATCCATCCATCCATCCATCCGTCTTGCAGGTGGTGTAGCCACGCTGTAGGACATGCTTGGGGGCTGATTCCCTTGGCACTCAATTCATTACCCTCATACCTGTTCACATGTTCAGACCTCCTCATTCATCCCTCAATGTCTGATCAAAAGTGCATCAAGACATTGGGTAATATGCTCCTTTTTCCCAGCTGAACAGTTTAATATTCTGTGCAAGGTGGAACAGCTTCGATGGGTGAGGGAAAGCACAAACCAGGGAAGGAAGCGAACCTACATCCTCCAAACCCAACCCCAGGTCCACACCACAAGGCTATTCACTGGAGAGCAAGCAGTCAACAGCAGAAATTTCAGCCCCAAATTTTCAGTGAGATCCCACAAGAGGGAAAAAAAAATGTTTTTTTCAGTCAATCAGTGGGGAGAAAACTGTGCTTCTCTAATGAAGCTGTTATCTTTGGCACTCAGGTGTTTGCAAGAGTGCAGTATTCATACATTTTACATGAACCGCCAAAATAAAAAGCTGAAAGTATAGCTTATTTATTTAGAGCTTGAGCCAGTAAGCAGAATGTCTCTCTGTTCATGCTGTGCATCTTCCACTCCTAATGAATGGAGTGTGCACTGACTCACTGCCTCATTGGGCTGGACACTGAAAAGCAACAGATTAGTTTATTCAAGCTATGTATAATTAAAAAAAAATAATATTAGCCATGTGTACAAACTACTGCTAAAGGTCAGGACGTGTCATCTGATAACTACTGGAAGTAAACAGAACACAGCATTTAAGAATTCACAAGTTAATTACAGAGGAGGAGACTCAGGAGACTAATCAGAGTTGTAATAAGTAAACATTGGCCTGACTAGAAAATGGATAAGAAAATCTGGAATGTTAATAAGTGTTTCATTTGTCTGCTTGAAGAACCCATCGGAAAAACAAAACAAAACAAAACAAACTGTTGAGACTGAACCTGAACTCCACTCTGCAGAGCATGGGGCTGATTACGGGCCCAGTTCTTGGGATGGCTGTGAGCTTTCCATCCCCTCTGACTTTTCGTGGATTTGAGAAAGCTCAGCACCTCTATTAGTCTCTATTAAACTTCCCCAGAGTGCATGCCACTTCAGGTGGGCAGCTTGTTCAGTCTTAAATACCAGCAGGGGGGAGGGAGAAAGGAGAAAGTTGATTTTATTTATCCAGTTGAGAGTCAGATAAACTTTCACCACTCAGTCCTTCCTATAGAAAATTCCTCCCTTCGTACCAATTCATGTTGCCCGTACTCAGTAGCTCCTTTGCATGAGAGGCAGCTGGGGGGTTGGAGCCCTAGAAAAAACTGTTCGGCTTCAGTTTCCAAGGAAAACTCAGAGAAGAAATATGTGTCTGTCTTCAATGAAAAGCTGAACAGTGGATGAACATGTCTGAAAAATCTAAACCCCTAATCTATAAACCCCAGTTATTCCAAATATAAACAGAACTAGAAATTAAAAACCCCTAAAATGTAGTGTTTCGTGTACTTTCCTTTACTTTTTGGCATACGTTAATCTAAGTTTGGTAACACCAAAGTGTGTGGCATTATTTGATTCATATCCATAAACCTAGTATACAAGTGTGCACCAAGTAGCTTTTGCACATGAAATAGAATTGACACTTCATGTTGTCTTGTTTATGGGGTTTTTTTTGAAAATCACAAACATTAGTGAACAAATACCTTTGGGTTTGTTTACAGATATTCCCAGCCTATTCAGCCTTTAGTCAGAAAGATCTCTTAGCAAGAGCAACTGAGGTTTGGCTTGGCTATGGACTCCTGAGTTTAAATCTAGATCAACCAAATTGTCCCCGTCACTCAATATTATTTCCATGTGTAGGTATTTTTAACCCAGCAGATCAGCAGATGATGGACTCCTGCAAGGCAATTGCAGCACAGTTTCTGTGTATTTTACTGCCCTCTGTGGTTTGAAGGCGTACCTTTCCTGAACTAAGCTTTTCTCCAGTCTTCAAGTCCTGTGCTATCTGAAAATAAAAATATAAAGTCATCCAGGGGACAAAAAGTTCCAGTCTTTTACCATTTTCAAGAAACTTTGAAATCAGACTTCCTTTCGCCGTCCTGAGGTCAGATCACTCCAGCCAAAACAAACTAAGTAGCACCTTACCCTTTTAATGGTCTCCTTCAAACAAGTAGGGTGTTTTCCCAGGTCTCGATGCTGTACGACGTGTGTGAGGAGAGCAAAATCCCAATTTCAGACTCTTTTATGAAGATAAAGTTACAGGGCAGAGTATCAGATGGGAAGCCCTTGTTGGTGTAGGAACAGGTCATGCTCCATTGTTTGACAGAAAGGTGCAAAGCTAAAAATTTAGAGAAATAGAGACAGAAAGGAACATCTTTCTGCAGGGAAAAGCCTGAGTTGCATTTGCCATCAACGTACATTTAATATAAAAAGCATCCTACCAGAGGATGCTGGGGGATCTCCTTTGGTTTTGGTTGTGCTTTTTTCGTTTGTTTGTTTTGGTGCTGGTCTCTTGTGTTTTATTTATCCTTACAGAAGGAAGGGAAACACATATCTGAGGATTTTTAGAGGGGCTTGTGGCATTTGGTATTTGATCATTTCTCTCCTTCGGGTGGAGAGTCTGTGTGAGTTGCTCATAGAGGAGTGGTTAGGACACACTAATCATTGGTTTACAAGCTGTTTTTCTTGTACCTGCCAGGTTGTCACTTTCCTGATCAAAGTACAAGCTGGGATAGTTCTGTTTATCTTGTTTCCTCTTCATCTCATATATGGGAAGCATTAAAAATTAAAGCCAGCAAACCTTTAAAATAGCATTGGAAGACTTGTTCCTTTAAGCCTTTTTTTTTTTTTTTTTTCCTGGCATCTTTTATAACAAAACACAGAGGCATATTTAATTAAAATATTTAATCTTAACCTTTTTATTATCCAAATAAACATAACACTTTCAGCAAACTGCATTTTTATTCCATTCCATAGCTTCCAGTCACATAGAAATATAATGAAGAGAAACTTTGCAACCCGCAGCACAGAAAATAGTATTTGCCACTGTGTAATGATGTGGGTAGATAAAAATAGATGAGTTTTTTTAAGGTGCTTGACATTTTGGTTCTATTGACTCGTGAATACCGAAAATCAAAAACTTGCAGACCAAAGAACGTGTCTCCCTTAAGTTATCAAGCCATAAAATTGTTGCTATTCATCAGCTATTCAATAAGAACAAGTCTTGCTCTATCCTTTCTATTTCTGATACTGCTATAGTTTATTGCAAATGCAACCTGCTGGGGGTGGTGAGCTATTCTGTAGTCGGTAAACCAGCAAAAACTCATTTAATCACCAAAAATGTCATTTTCATATGAAATGGAATTGACCATACAGAAGTATTCAGGGGTTCAAACAGAGGGATCTAGTGGCATTTTAGAAAAGCTGGGTTATTCAAGGATGTCCAAGATATCTGCACAGGCCTGACAAATAACACACAGGAACTTCTGGGAGACCCAAGGGCAAAAGGAGACATCCTTCTTGGGCAGCAGCTGCAAACCAGTTGGGTCTCTGTATGGCCCCAAACTCCAGTTAAGGTATTTTAATAGCTCGGAGATTTCCAATGAACATTTATGAACAACAAAAGAAGAAATTTAAATCTAAAAGTAAAGGGAACATCAAAATAACCAAGAAGGACTGTCAACACAGTAGGAAATTGTTTAAACAAATATTGAAGATCCCCCCTTAATCTGTTCCTCTGTATCTTCTTTTCATCATCTTTATTTCTTTGTCCTCATTCCATTTCTTTACATTTCTTTTCTTTCTCTAAATCACAGGAAGATCTTTCTTCCATAGATGAAAGCTGGCAAGTGGTTTGGCTAGAACAGTTAATGTGCACTTTGTCAAAGTTGAATCAAGAGAGGGATGACCTCTGAGTACACACGCCTCCTGTAAATACAGAGGTACAGTTCTTCAGAGACAAAACTTCATGGAAAACTTCACTGCAAACTTCCATGGAAAGGAATGGCAGGGAGGCGTAGGAAATGAGGGATGGGACACTACAAAATTTCACCTTTTCAGACTCTAAAGTCTCATGCTCTTTGCTTAGGAGGGACTGTCTTCCCTCCTTTGCAACTGTTTTATGAAGGGCACCAAATGATCTGTGAT